TATATATATATATATAATATATACACTTCTTTGTTTCTGTATTCAATCAGATTTATTGTTTATCATATATATTTAGCTTAATTACCAAATTTTATCAATTTGATGTCCATGAATATTTCTGTATCAAAAGAATCGTGGCATACGGTATCCTTTACTTTTCCCCTCTCCCATAAATAATATGTTTTGAACTCTTGTGACGAACAACGGTTTATCTTAGCAGAACTAAACGCAAATGTAATTATTATTACTGTAAGACGGTTTTGAGTTTATAATTATGTGTGTATAATATATATAAGCGATAGAATATTATCTATCATTTTTGAAAATTAAAAGAAAACTACAACCTACCGACAATAGACACGTCATCAATGGCGATGACACTAGCGGTTGATGCGCCCCTTATTGCTTCAAAAACAATCTAAAATGGTAGAAAATAGAGCAATTAAAAAAAATTACTATAAGATGATTGTGGATATTATACTGTTGTCACAATTTAGCACATATATAAAGAAATTACATTAGTTTTAAAACGCTACAATAACAACTAGGCCTGTTGTTATTGCTATAAATATTGATATGCTGTTGTCAAAAAGCCTAATTGTTATTACTATTGCAATATTTATTGCTGTTTACAATTGTTCCTACTATAATTGTTGATGTTATTATTAATCATCATCGTCATTATTAATATTATCTTTAATATTCATTAGAGTGCTATTATTTCTGGCAGAAAATTTACCTTAATATTACCATCTATGCTCGAGATGTCATAATTAATTGTCCCCTCTATCCATTCATCTCCTTGGTTTCCTGACCTAGTGAAAACCGGATCACTAAAACTAGTGACGTCACAGCCGACTACGTATACATTTAATGTGCCCATGTCCTCCCCGTACATATGGTAATAGAAAGTCATATCTAACGTCGTAGACAGTGGATAGCAGGGAGAGATGAGTCGAGCCGTTTCTCCCTCTGTTAAATCCTGACTGCCCACTACGTCTTTTAGGACCATGTAGTATGGAGGTTGCGCTGTAACGACATCAATGTAACACAAATAAGGTTTATATGTTCATTTTATTAAATTGTAAGTG